GCCGCAGTATCTTAGTTGCCATCAACCTTGCTATGATTTCTTAGTCGTTGAAAATAAATGTTCGTCTTCATGATAACTATTGTATAACGAATCTTGTAAAGTTATATTATTAATCGTTTATACATTTAGGGTACCAGGTCGCAATTGTATAATAGATACTTGAAGCGCACTCTTCACATCTAATTGACACAATCTCAAATGTTCTGTAGCCGTTAAGGAGAACAATAGAGTTCTATTTAGAGTTACACATTTTGTCGTAATCAATTTCTTCAATTGTAGTAAAACCTATCTAGTGTATATTTTGTCATTGTCTAATTCATAAAAACAACTGATTGTTAACTAGCCGATATTCTCTATTACTTTGCGTGTATTGTGATCACTTAAACAGATAATTTTTTTCTACATGGATCTTTCGTGATCATGATGATACATAATCATTTGAAACTGTTTTTCTCATTATACAAATGTATTTTAGCTTATTTCTATGACTCAAAACTTAATTTCTATTTTTAATTATATATTTATTAAAACTGACGCTGATACTGCTTCTATTTTCAATGTATTATAAATATTTTTTGGTTTTGAGTAAATTATCGGGATAAATAAGATTTCTTCTTCTATATTTACCGATGAATGTTAGTTTGCTCATAAACACTGAGTAACTTAATATATACCTTTATGATTTAATACATTAGAAGTACACCTTTCTCATAATCAAATAAAATACAAATTTGGCTTCAAAACTACTGTATGTGTCCTTCATTCTAAAGAACAGTGATACACATTAAAAATTCAAATATATCAGGGAATATCAAACATTCAATCAATTTTATTTACGCTTTGTAATATTTAATGGCAAATAGTTATCAAATCCAGTTTCATGTTTAGTTTATACATATTCTGAATAGTTTAGTCAATAAATGCAGGTGATATGATAATAACATAGTCAGGATTAAGTGAAGATGAATCGAAAAATTTGTATTTTCTATTGATGTGTCATTTTTTGGATATAGCAGGTCAAAATGTATAAATGGACAATGTAAATGTAAAGAGTCATACAAAGGGACAAACAGTAGCAGACATCAATTTTCGAAATACGATGTAGCACATGTTCTCCACCACTCCACTAATACTTTAGTGGAACTCATTATTTCAGAACAAATAATATTTGGCGACGAAATGACGTATCACTGTCTTCCTTAAAAATAACAGGAAGCAATTAAACGTTTAACAAGGTGCTGCCGGCAGACATTTTCTCCCCCCTCATATCACATCCAAATAAATTCTACTATAACCTGCAAACTGTAATAGATGGAGTACCGGAAAGGGATGAAATCAATCTTGGGACTCCTCAACAAGCCACAAAACAAATAAACCATAATAATCAATGGTAGATTTTATCATCAAAAATGAAAACCTTCACCCCAAAAAAATACTAGACGTGAAAATTTTTTTGTCTGCAAATATTGGAACTGACCACAACTTTGTATTGGTGAAAATGAGAAGTATAATCCAGCCAGTAAGGAGAACAGCAGTAAACGAAACATAAAATCACTGGAGACTATCAAAAAAAGATAGTCTCCGCATCGACTGCAACAGCTTGAGAAAAACTACTCTCAACTATAATTAAATCAGTAAAGGACGCATTTGGGATAAGAGATACATCAGGAGATATCAAGATCCCCAATATAAAGCCTTGGTTCACTCAATAAGTGAAGAATCTTGATGCGGAAAAACGAAGGACCTATTTACAGAACAGATCAGGTGCATACAAAGAATGTAAAGTAGTAAGAAACGGAGAAAACGCAAACACCCAATAAATCAAGAAAGAGTTCATGCAGACCACAAAGATAAAGGCGGAAGATTGGGAAAATTATTTCGAAAAAGGTTAAGACATGGTCGAAAATAGGAAAAATATCGAACATAGGAAAATAAAACAAATAACCCAGAAGTTGAAAAGCACAAAAACACCATATATCGATTAAATAACAAATGAGCTGATTAAATATGGTGGGTGCGTCTCTTCACCTTAGCAAATGAAATACACACCCTTCTTAACATAATTATCAAAAGTAAAAGGATTAATCTTTAGGAAGGGTGAAAAGACAAACCCAAGCAATTATAGTCTCGGAAGGAATTAGTCTCTTTAGTTCTATCCAAAAATTGATGACCAAAATGCTATCAGAAGAAATAGCAACAAGTGGGATCTACGAACAACGATAGGGATTTAAAAAAAATAGGTCAACTATAGATGCAATCTTCGTTTAGATTTCGACAAGACAGCTTTTATGTGTTTCGTCGATTTTAATAGGGTGAGACTAATGTAAGTGAAGTAGTGTCCTTACTAGAGAAGCGACACATACTTCTGATTATTGTGGCTCTTGTAAGTGAGATAGCCTTGGAAGGCGGTACAGGTTGGGCTATAAGATGGGATGTAAGGATCACATGATACGCAGAGAATGTAATGTGGTAAACTCAGTACAGAAAATGCAATCCCTATCAATACCCAAAGAATCAAAAAAGTGTAAACAAGCGATTTATAATCGTACCGCAGTTCAGGTTATGTAGTTGAAATATTTCGGACTAAACATCACTAATAATAGAGACCTGAAAGAAGAAGTCAGAGCACAAACCGCAAGAACAAATCGGTGTGCCTCCGAGATGTACGATAGAGTCACAAATATTTAAAAACCAAAAGTAAGGTGAGGATCTGTAAGACGCTTGTAAGACTGGTGATGACATATGCCATTTAAACAAGGGCAGAAAACACCATAACCAAAAGGCTTCTCAGAACCACAGAGACGAAAACCCTTCATCAGCACAACATAGTCAATGGGGCGCACAGTAGATGGAGAGAATGGAGGCTATGTTGGGAAAATGCCGAAAATCGTCAAAGAGGTACATCCACATGAGACCAGATCTCCTGGAAGGCCCTCAAAGAGGTGGTGTAAAAGTTGGAGTTCAACACAAGGGCGTCGCCAGCCAGTGGGTCAGGGGAGGGGCAGGACAAAAAAGAATGGAAATCGGGCTGGGAAAATAGCCCCCCAAGGAAAAAAACCAGACCAAACTATTTAAAACACAATTTTCGTGGGTTCTTAGCGAATTGCTCAACCAGATTATTAATAAAACCCTAAAAGTTCTCAAAAATATGCTTCCTACGCACACTCATCATGGCAAAACTATTGAGACAACATTCTACTCTTATGTTAGTAGTCTTAGGTTATTATAAACATTTCGGGAAAATTTTATTAGAAAGATCGCTTCAGAATAATGTATCCTACAACCGTATAATGCTCTGATGCGGAAGATACGGAACACGCTGTATATCGTGCAGGGTAAAGTGACCAAAATGGTAAGGGCTTTTCTCGTTTCTGGAAAAAAAATGTTGGCCTCTGTTATGACATCCACGACACTTAGTTCTTTTGAGTCAGGTTTATCTTGCCATAGTTTTTGTCATACATCGATTTCGTTGTTGATATTTGATAAATTGTAAAAAGACTTCACCAGCTTCTACGAGGTCTTCAAGGGACATGTCTATCATTTGCAGGGTGTAATTTCGACAAGGAAAATGACGGGGTGTTTTCTTCAGAAAAGTCAACTTCAAGAGAATTAATAATCAAGCCTAAGTATGGTATTATTAAAAACCTATGCCAGAATTCTCAAGTGCTTGCTGCTGGATGATTGTTCCGATGTTGTTGTCTCCCGACAATAATAATAATAATAATAATAAATAGTAGCGTTTTCTGGACCGTTACGGTGGTTGTTTGTCAATTGCAAAATGCGACTAATGTGTTGGGATGCCTTAACTGCATCCAAAGCTACGGATTGGAACACGTTTACCACAGGTTCGCAAATCCTGTAAATATTTGGTATCAATTTGCGTCTCAAAACTGATTCTTCAAAAAATGTAATACCTTCGGTGTTCCGGATTTCAAGCAGACTAGTTAGATCATTAATGCCTAGATTTAATTTGTGTGACGAGCAGTGAAAGAACAAGGTTTTTTTATATTTTCTGCGTAGAATTGCTTGCACACCACCTTCTTTCCCGGACATCGTCGAATAACCATCAAATCCTAAACCAACAGATTTGTCCGGATCAAGATCTTCTTCTGCCAAAAACTCATCTATTGCTTTTGGAGGTGAGCATCCCAGTCGAGACTCATTATATCTGTTCATTATTTTGAAAATCACTTTTTGTTATCATTGTAAGTAAAGTTAGTTATTTCACACACATTTTATATTAACAAGAAGAAATTTTAGTTATTTAAAAAATTAATTTTTTTTCATCTCCAAATCATCATCTTTGTTAAGTTTGAGCCAATAAATTGTCGTACATTTCTAGAACTGCATCTACACTAAATCTCTATGTTTTGTATCGTTACTCCTTGCGACATCTACAGGAACATCCCGAAACTGCTCATTTTAACACCGAGCTCTGTTTTAACAACGATAGATGTCGACCCGGTTCTGCCTTCGTTCGATAAATCTATATTTCCACTCGGTTTAACTTTAAATTATTTACTGGTTCTAGATTCGTTTACAATTATAGCTATTATCGTTCGTTCATGACCTAGTTTTATTTACAAATTATTATTTTTTTAAATCGACTGTTTTATTTTTATTGGAATGAAAGAAGGAAAGATGGTTTTTATTGGAAAGATGAAGCTATATTTTAATTAGAATTAAAAAATTATTTTAAAGGAACAGGTGTTTAGTTTTTTGGACACCTTGCCAAATGGTTGTTGATTTAAAGAGATTATCAAAACGTGCAGGTGTGCAACAACAAATTTATTTGATTCTAAGGTGGATGAATCAAATTTTGTTATGATATGTTATTGAGTAAACATTAATTATTTGCCTTTAAGTAACTTAATAATTATAAAACTTATTTCATTTTAAATGTAAATTTTCTATTATTTGGAAACCAATAACAAACAGTTTATTGTTGCTCATAATTGAAGATTTTTATTTTTAACGTTTAAAAAACTTGCATACTTTCTTTTTGGAAAGCATTACTAAATTTATTTTCCAAGTTTAAATTTGAAATGCATGACTGACTATTTAAGTACGATGATCCAGCAGTTCGAAATAATAGCGGGCATGTGTCCGGCCATTACTGTGAAATCACCGCCCAGTTTTGTGCACCCGTATTTATAAACAATGCGAACTTGAAATTTCGACGCAGACTTCAAGGCACCTAACGGCAAACGGTCCCAGCACAGTTGCCATCATAGTACATAGTTGCTGCTATTAATATGCAATAATTGCGCAAGGTGTCATTTACGTGCCAAACTTGCCGGGTATTTTCTACCGAGATTTTGCCTACGTAAGGGGCACATGTCTTATATAAAACTTTATTTTTACATAGCCCAACTATTTCTTTTAATTCAATACAATTTAGTGTAATAGTTTGTTGTATTACCATTTTATGGGATGCATTTTTATGCACATGCGCGTGCCTATAGGTACCTGTTCCTGGTATTGAATTTCCCAACAGCTGGAAATAATCGAACGCAGTCGCCAGCTGATCTCTTGAAATAGCGGTCCTGCTGCTCTGCTCCACTCCGCGCACTTCTTCCTATCATCAAAAAGCAGTGGGATATTCGCTTACTGGCAAGATATTAAGTTTTTCTTGTCGAAAAGTAAGTGACTCTTGTAGTGTCACCACTATTTCTCATATTTCAATAAAATCATATTACCTAATTTACTGCAAAAATGAATAAAATGATTTTATTCCAATATTTCCTCTTTTTTTAAATCATTTTTATTACCAATTTCAGAAAAAAAAAGCTAAATATATTAATTACTTTGTTATAATTGCATTTAATGCACTTCTATATTCTTTCTTTTAAGTCATAAAAGAATCATAAACTATTTTTTTAATTTAGGTTGGTGTTAGTTGTGATGACTGTGAACCCCACAAATTTAGTGTTAAATATTGTTTTATATTATGAAGTATTAGATAAGAAAATAAAACTATTTCCGGGCATACAATCATCTATATAATGGACGGGAACATAATATAGATGATTCGTTTAGATGACCATTATGACAACGAAGCTTGTTGGCCAGGATTCTAAGCATTAGAGCACATTCGATTTAGAACACGTATACGACGACGACGACTACTATGAAGGAAGTGGGAGCCATCTACCGACCGCTGTTGCATAACTGCATCGTCCGAGATGACCCAAAAAAAACCAGGACGTCGCACCATTATGAAGCCACCAGTCGAAGACGAAGGGATTAAATCCAAATAAGACGATAAAGTGGTTTCAAACGAATCATGATACAAGAAGTTAAGTTTTACCAAGTGCCAAAGCGTTCAATATTAAACGGAAATATAGCTCAATCTTGAGTGAATCTGTGTACTTTGTGCGTGTGTGGTGTGGGTTAATTTTATTAAACATTTTTTTTAGATTTTTTTTGTGGTTTGGGATGATTTTTTGTTTGATGTTGGTTTGCATGATTTTCTTTTTATTTTAGAGGATTTATTTTAAAGTCGGGGCAACCCAAAAAAGCTATTTTTGGTTCGCTCAGAAGATCCATCGTACAGACGTCTCTAATAACAATCGTTAATTTAAATATATGGCAATTATTCAAGTAATCCACGAGTAAAGTTTTTTTTTGGCTTATTATCCACTACTACTTTTTCTTATTTACGTAAGCTGATTTTCAACACAGCGAAGTCATTGCATTTCCATCGGAGCTATAAATGAGCGTCGTTCGTAGCGTGGGTTTTTGAACGTACGCCAAGATTTAGCTATTGTAAATAGTGGATTTTGCTTATTTCAAACTCCCAACTAACCAACACCATTTTATTAATCCACTAGTTTAATTATATATTTCTTGTTCTTCTTGCTTTGATTGCATGTCAAGTTATGTTGTTTGTTTTATTTCGTTTTTCACCTTTCTGTTTTGGTTTTATTGATTTTTTGTTAATATCTTGAAGTCGACCACTTGTTGTTGTTGTAGGTGCTTTGAATGAAATATGGGAGGTGGTGGTCGTCTCCTTTCCGTAATTCCGGAGTAGGCATTTTTCGCCGGAACATCGAAGTCCTGGGATGCGTACCAGATGCGCGTTTACAACGCTCTTTACGGAATCCTGTAAATGCACTATCTGGTACGACACTCCAGGATCTGTTTCGTCTTCGCACGCAGCTCTGTTATTCTTTTCTTTTTCCGCCTGCATCAACTTCATATACACCCACCACACCAATCGCTTTACACTTCATCTTACTTTTCTTCTTTTTAGTTATTGTTAATAATATTCTATTGATGTTGTTTACAAAGTTGCATGACTAGAATAAAGATAAAATCATTTTAAGTATTGTATGGTCATTTAAATATCAATCAAAAATATTATAAAAATGTATTATAAAGCGGCTATTGTAAAATGGTATTAATAATAAATGTTTGTTAAAATAATGTATTTTACTTTTTTAATCCCAAATATTTCCTTAAATCCAAAAACCATTGTCAATCTAGTTGTATAAATAAATGTGCATTTTAAAATTCGATTTGGCAAGAAATTTATATAACAATACTTTTGAATTAAAGTACCTTGAGAAACAATCGTTAAATGATTATTTCGCTTGACAGAAAATAAATATAATTTAACAGACGTTTGGAACACGTTAAACCGCTAAACTATCCAGTTTGTCAGGTTCCGAATTTATCTGGCATTGTTCCAAAAAGAATCTGTCACCGTCGTCGAGCCAGTAGCATCCCTTCGTATTCAAAAACAGCCGTAAACCCCGTTGAAAACTGGGTCACCCTTCGTTGTATCAATTCTCCGAAATAGATTACTTTAACACGTTAAGAATTTTTACGTTTCAATTCACCCTAAAATATATAACTATATACATTCTAAACTAAAACGAAAAACTCGTGTTGCCAATCTGATAACATCTAAAAATGGCTTATCGCAACGTTGATAAAACAAAATTAAATATTGCTATTGTATTAATTGGTCGGGTACTTCCTAGCGATCATCAATAATTTATTACTAGTGCTGTAAATAACAATAGACTTGCAATTTACCACGTGGCAGTGTGGTTAGCTGGTTGTGTCGTAGCAAACTCACGGCCACTATCCATACGCCCATATGGTGGATGCGTCATATCAACGTTTAGTAAGATTGTGTTGCCGATTAATTAAAAAAACGTTTTGTTATGAATAACCGACACAATTTTAATAATTTTTGTTGTATTTTAGGGCTGCGTACGTATCTTTTGGAGGATTATTGATGAGACTGCAAGGAGACGCTAATAATTTACATGGATTTGAAATTGATCAAATGATGTATTTGCTAATGAAGAAACTCGCATTTTAAAGTAAAAAACCAATGGTGCTTGTGAAGTGTGTTTTTAATGTAATTCTGAAAAATAAAGTTTTTGAAACCAATAATGTGTATTATTAAGTTTACTAAAAAAATTATATATTTACAGTAAAACCTCGATATAACGGACCTCGTCATACTATTAAGATTATCTAGCGCTCAGAAATAGAATCCAACTCAACTTGCTCTATTTCATGTTTATAGATAAAGTTGTCTATATGATGTATTAAGCTAGGATTCTAGTTTTAATTGTTATTTAGCGTTAGATTATTGTATATTTTTTATTGAACTAAAAGTGGAACTAGCATTAGACCTAAAACTATAAATATTTGGGTTTAGCCATGCGTCTCTTAAGACTGCTATGTTTCTGGGTCTAGTGTTAGTTTTAGTTGTTTTTCAGCGTTAGATTGTTGTATATTTTAATTGAAGTAAAAGTAGAACTAACACTAGACCTAGCACAAGAAACGTTCAGGTTATCCATAATGGCTAAAATCGATTAAGATTTTTATTTTATATAATGAACCTTATGTTTCAAACTAACAACATTACAAAACACAAATAGAGTAAATAAATTAAGCATTTGGTAATTCAAAGTGTGAAGTAGTAGTTGCTTACAAACTCTCTTATATTATCAGAATGAATGTGAAATTAAGGTTTTTACTGCTAAGAGTTCAAGTACTTAGCAGATTACACAATTAGATCATTTATTTAAAACTTAATAACAAAATAAAAGTTAATTTAGAATAAAAGTCCCAAAGTATTTGTTATTTATAATAGTTTGAACATTAATTCGTTTTGAGATTTTTTTACATTCATGCTTGATGTGTTTCAAAAGTATTCTGCTTTGAATCAAATCTTTCTTTAATAGTTCTTATTCACAACGCAAATCAGTTTCACAGTTCTATGATTAATAATTCGAATATTCTGTGGAGTTGTTTTTTTTTGTGTAATTCGGTTTTAGTTTCACTTTGAAAAATGTTTACAACAAAACGTTTTTACAAAAACATTTTTAGCCTTTCAAACGTTAATTTCTTTCACTAACTTATTAGAAAATAATGTTTGGTGACTATTTAAAAATGACTTTCCTAAATAAATAATCTAGTAAAGCTATAATATTAATTTAGAAACGTTACACCATTGAGCATATAAGTAAATATTATGTTTTTTTATTAATATTGTACTAGAACTTTTAAAATAAACAACTGTTTCTGAAATAATATTTTAAATGAATCGTATGGCACAAAATTATATTATCAAAACACTATGTTCATTAAAATTAATGAATACAAATATTAAATGAAACGTTTACTTTATTAAAAGTAAGAGAGATCGTTTTTAGCATAAATTTAAAACTACATTCAAATCTATTCTAAATAGCTATAACATTAACTTTTTAAAGAATAAAAGCTTCTTTGCATAACCATACTTACTGGTAGCATTCAAAGTAGTTAATATGCTAACTGGTTGACAGCCTTCAAAGCATTAATGACTCCGTTGGAAAGGTTTCTGTTAAAACTATTCTGCTGATAATATAAATAGTAAATTTAGGATTATAAATTGTGGTAATTAGTTATGAGTAATTACTTTACTCATAGTCTTTACTTTAGTCCCTCGCTAGTAAAGAAAACCTAACACAAATTAAGAAAATTTTTGTCCAAAACAGAAGCATGCAAAGTTAAAAGCACATTACTAGGGACAATGTGCAACATATGGTAAGGAAAATGTTAAATGTCGTAATAAGAATCATTTTGCAATAGGTTATAAACTAAATAACGTTACTAATCAACAAAATAATAGCTAAATTAATCATAATAATAAAAATAAACATGGAACAACAAGTAGAGACTAATTGTAAGAATGAAAATCGGTGTGGTAGTAATGATGAATATTATAATAACTCGTTAGTTTTAAAAATGAAGAATGGGTAACAAATATTATAATTAATAGAAATGTTTAATACCACATCTATCTGAAATAACAAATCCGCTGAGTTTACTTTTAAAAGATAATGTTAAATTTGAATAGTCAAATTTGTAAATGAATACATTTAATAAATTAAAAACCTGCTTATCCAAAATCGAAGAATTCCAAGAAATTAATAATTAATAAGAAATGAGGCCTAGAATTTATTAATGTATTAAACAATTTAATTTCTTGTATTGATGCAATAAAAAAGATTTTTATTTAGTCTCAACACTTGTTCTTACAAAACTTTAAAATGTTTTTTAAGAATTTTCAATCGGATTTATTAAATCATGAAAGTATTATTGATACAAAAAAATGAGTTGCTATCAATGTTTATGCTAATCGTGATGCCTATTTGAATACGACGCACAGTGATCCATTTCATAAATCTAGGTGAACAAAATTAATATTAGAAAAATACAACTTTTTTAGACATAATTATATTCAAAAACTCATAAGAAGTGTTTTAAAAGTCCTCATCACTACTGCACGAAGGACTAAATTCTTCATTTGTCGACTCCTCTTCTGCAGTGATAGATTCCTGCTCTTGAGATGACTTTTTTAATAATGAAATTACTTCATCGGAAGTATTCTCTATTTTCTTAGGAACAAGACTTCTGAAGTAATTAGTGGATCTGACGGAACTAATAACATATTGAACAAATCCTCGGTGTTGGTGATTCTGGACGTTTTTCTAACGTGATCTCTCCGAAACCTTCGACAATCCTTGTTGCGCGCTTCCTGCACTTCCTCAGAAAGCTGCCCAATAGGAAAAAGAGCGGATTTAACAATATCCGATTCATGAATTAAAAGTTTATGAACACTTTATGACTCATTAGCAGAGTCTATGGCATATTCTTCAAATGCTTCCAAATTTATTTCGTATCCACTCGCAATTGCCTTTAATAAAACTACAAACTGTTTAATTCGTTCCTCATTTACTCCTGTGATCGCACTGGATAGCGATGGATTAGAAAAAAATCTTCGAGTTGTGTTGCCATCATTACTTGTTCCGTAACCTGGTTTGGGAATATCCACAAGTAGGCCCATTTCCTTGTGAAAGCGATCTTGAATTAATCTTTTTCGCTTGTCCACATTGTCCCGGTCCTTTTTTCTCACTTGCCAGGTTTGAACTTCCAGTCTGTAGGCGATGTGCAGCAGACCTTCGAAGCATCTTATCCACACGTGAAGACTTGATAACCTAAAATCGAATGTCCCTTCATCAACAGGCGTTGATGCGTGTCTAGGCAAGTTATTCATTTCTTTAGGTGTTGCACCACAGATATAACACTTTTGAAATAACTCTTGTGCAATAACACTGCAGACCTTTCCGTCTACAATTGTCATCACCATTTTGTGATCCACGAATATGTCTTTGCCTTCATTTATAATATGTGTCGGAGAAAGAACTTTTATTTCTGTTTCTACTTTACTAACTTCTGTTCGAGTTAGTTCTGCAGTCTCTTCCTGAAACAATAGCTTTATTTGGCGACAATAGCGTGTTGACGAAGGGCGTGGATTTTCCCGTTTTATTGCTTCATTATGTTTTAATTGAAGCGGAACCAATGAAATTACGAATAAGAATGCATCATCGTGTTGTTCATTTCCCATGTCCGTCCTATACATTTTCTCTTGTATGTACTTTATATCCTGCACACAACAACTGTCAGTCACTTTTAGCACACATCCGGTTACGTGATCATCAAAGTCTTCTAATCTTAATTTGTTTATTGTATAACTGTAGACACTATAGTTTCTATTGAAAACGTTTAGTTCACTTCAAAAACTGCAATAATTTATAAAGTTGGTGTGATATGGTTGTCAATTTATAGAAACATTAAAAAGTAGTTGTGCACTTGTTACAAACCACTTTATATGAAAACACTCGTGCATTTTGTCCTGCTAAAATAATAGACTGAACCACTGTGCGACGTGATGAACATTTCCTTTATTTTCTGAAAAATCAAGTAAATGTCGCTTATGCGATTTTGGCCAGGTAGTGACAATATACTTTACAGGTACTCTGACTAACAATAAGTAAATGTTGTTCGTCAGGATATGATTTGAATTTGTAACTTTTGTAACAAAAATGTATTTCATTTTTAAAAGCTTTAGCGTGGTATATTCTCAATGTTATAGTTCTTACGACTTTTATCTGATCTAATGTTAACCAATACCTATTGGGTCGAATTTGGAGATTAGTAAATCATTGGTTCACAAAATTTAAAAACCGCAAAATATCATTCCTATATTCTCCTATATTCACTAGTAACGAGTAACGAGTCGTAGTTTTTGCAACGACGACGAAGACTTTGTCAAAAACATAGTTCTGACGAGGGGACACATACATTGAGTGGACAAGTAAATAGATAAAATTGTCGGTATTAGGCTATCCAAAATCCACATTTTGCAAGAAAGTTGCACACTCAATATCCGCAAAAGATTTGGGGAAACCTTAACTGGAGAGAGATGTTTAGATATTTTCAAAACGATGTCATTCCTTCCATAACGGCCTCATCCCGATAATGTTGACCCAATTAAATTCCAACAAGATGGCGCGCCACCATACTTCAACAAGCTTTACTAAATCAATTTTTGACATTCAGGTAATTGTTTATAATAATTGGTTACTAAAATGTGGTCCAAAAAGTATTACCTTAGATATTTCGCTTGATGCATTTTATGCTGGCTCTGGTATGCCAGCTGCGGTGTTCGCAAAAAAATCAACTGTCACTTTTTAACTTCAAAGCAAGAAAACCACAACCAGAAAACTAAAAAAAATTCCTTCAATGCGGCCTAATGCTGTCAGAATATTACGAAAGTAAAATGCACCAAATGTAACACTTTTCTATGTTTCGTTCCAAATTGGAACTGTTTCCAAGAGTTGCACAACTCGATTTTTATATTGGGAAAGACAAAGAATTTATTATTTTTGTTGATTTGTAAAGAATACCCTGTTTTTATTTTGTGTTTAGTTTTTCCTTTGTATAAATTTGACTAAGGGTAGTTCCTATTCGTGTTTCCTTCTGTAGACGAGGATAACCATTGTTACATTCCGAAATTTTTATGTTATGTGTGGGTGACTTGTTTATGTGTAATG